GCGGCTGATGCTACATCTAATAACAATACTCGTAGTATAACTACTGTCTTCATTACTACCGCTACTGCTATCGAGACTGGTTCTGCTACTGCTACTACCAATACCAACACCACAACACTACTACAACTGCTACGACGACGACTACCTCGACTGCTACTACGACTACGACTGCTATTACGGCTGCCACTACGGCCACGGCTACGACTACGACGACGACGACGACGACTACTACTACTACTACCACTACTACCACTACTACTACGCTGCTACTGCTACTTCCGCTACTACGACTGCTACTACGAAACTACAACGGATATTGCTGCTGTCACTAGAACCACACCTCCGACGACTCCTCCTGCTACTCAGTGGCAGCTACTAAAGCTCAGCAGTATTGTTGCCTGTTTTTGTGCTTTCCAGACTCTTAGGCTTTTCGATGACGCTGGGCTTTTCAGACTTTTCGGGATCTTCGGACGGACTTTTCGACTTTTCTTCCGATCTTTCGGACTTTTCCGCTTTTCGGCAAAAGTCGACTTTTCGCAAGAATTTCCACTTTTCGGCTTTTCAGGTTGTCGGTTCTCCACATAAGGCCCCCAGCCGGTCGCAAACACAGACGCATCATCCTACATGGTTGTTTACGATGTTAGGGGTACCTTATTGGGGTCCCTATTCTAAGAGAATCTTACTATTAGGGGGGCGATTATAGGGGTACCTTATTTTTCTAAACCCTAAACCCTAAACCCTAAACCCTAAACCCTAAACCCTAAACCCTAAACCCTAAACCCTAAACCCTAAACCCTAAACCCTAAACCCTAAACCCTAAACCCTCCCGCATCTTGGAGCAGGGCAGCCGGGAACGATGCTGGAATTGGCGAGTGCCTGGCTCGGAGCAGGAAGGTTCTCAGGCTGGAGGGAAGACTAACTCGGGGTCGATGCTGCGCTGAATTTTTGAACCCTAAACCCGAAACCCTAAACCCTAAACCCTAAACCCTAAACCCTAAACCCTAAACCCTAAACCCTAAACCTGCTTTTGGCAAATGCCTCCTCTTGAAGCCACATGTGGGAAAGCTGTGTGCCCAAGGATGCTGATGGCCCATTTCTCCAAGAAACTCTGGAGGCCGGGTTTAGGGTTTAGGGTTCAGGGTTTAGGGTTTAGGGTTTAGGGTTTAGGGTTTAGGGTTTAGGGTTTAGGGTTTAGGGTGTGGCCCTGGAGGCAAGGGGCTCCACCTACAATGGATACCCGGCACAGCCCTGAGATGGGGCGCGAGCGTAGGGAATTTGACCATATTTCTCACAGCACTTCGCTGAGGTGAGCCCAAACTACATTGGGGCTTACAGCCTGGATGGTGACTCCGCATGGTTGAGGATTCTAGATGTTTTTTAGCAGGTGCTGCAAGGCGTGTTCTTGAACTCCTTGACATTATCCTTCGAGATTCTTGGCTTGGGGCCATTGCCAGGCCTGGCCATTGCAATGCACAGTTTCTATCACACCGTCTCTTTCATGGAGGTCGCCTGGAGCAAATTCTTTGTGCCTGTTCCAATTGAGGGATTGCTTGGGCTCTTTCGAGCTTCATGGCCTTTTGCCCACGAAGTTGTGTACTATCATGTGTTTCTTGAAAAGGAAAATCTACCTGGTGAGGCACTGACACGCTGTGTGAACTTTTTGGGCGATGCGGACTCGACAGGCAGCAGAACATGAGAGGGTATAGGAAAGCAAGATGATCTTGACGAAGACGTCGCTTGCGTCCCGAAAGTGACGTGAAAGAACGTGCTGGCCTTGAGAGGTGCCATCTGCGGCCAGATGGCCGGGGCATTCTATGGCCTCGTCCCTAGATCACCCCAGACCAGTGTTCGTTTTCAGTCATGCCTGCGAGGTTCACTCATCATATGGACTTGTCGGGGTTGTTGCAAGTTGCAGTGGGCCACGGGTGGATCAGAAGAAGCTTGCTTGTTGCTCAGGTCTTTCAGCCATTGACATGCGGCTCGTCAGTCGCCTGCGGCGTTGGGATTGTGACGAGGCAGTTGCAAGATTTGCAAGATGCTACCACATGATGCCACCGCTGGGGTGGTGGTAGCTGATGGCAACTGATGGTAGCTGGTGCCCTGACGAGGTCGCCTTGCGTGGAGCTCTGCTTCATGTTCTTGGCGCCAGCCCATGGCCTGAAAAAGCTAAAGCTGCCCTGCAAAGCTTGACACGGCTGGATTGTTCGCATTTGCTTCCAGTCCCTTTTGCCAAGGCTTGTCCGTGCCTTCGCCACGCAAGCCAGTGAACGTGATGTGTTGACCTTGGGCAGCTTTACCGTTTATCGGTTTGACGACGAACGTTGTTGCGGTATGTTGCGATTCAGCCTCGGTTCCACTTTTCGAAGGCAAGCTCTGCTGATGACCACGGAGTCAACCAAGACGGAGTCAGCCAGATACCCATGCTGCAACCGCTTCACTGTGCTGTCGTTTCGACATTTCGTGGAGTCGTGAACAGCTGCACTGCGACGCAAGAGGGGACGAAACGGGCCCAGGCTTCCGCAGGTTCACCTGCCGTGAAGACCCCAGTGTCTTTGTTTTGACAAAGACTGCGTCTGCTGCAGTTTGCCATAGTCTCTGTGCCCAACTGTGCGGACAAGCCAAGCGAAACTTCCTGAGGATTCTCAAAGTTGAGTCATTCGATGACCGGCTTCCCTGGGGCCGCCTGGCACTGAGAAGGCTCATGGAGATTAACAGCTTGGCCGCGCCCTGCTACCATTTAGGGTTTCGGGTTTCGGGCTTAGGGTTTAGCTAGTAATGCATGGTACTGCATAGTATTGCTAGCCATGCTCCTCTAAGTGATCCTACAAGTTTGCAAGCGTTCGGAATCCTTAGACGCTTCCAGGTTGGGGCCTCTGCATTCTCGAGGACCCTGCACCTGCTGCAGTTGTAAAGAGGCAGGGGCAGGGAGGATCAGGAAGGGACAGCCTCCCAGTTCATATTGTTGAACGTCCAAGGTATGCAGACGGTGGTAGGCATTCGCTCAACAGCCGGGCTACATATGTGAGATGTTGTCGATTGTTCACATGACACGAATACTTCTTACTTCGCTCCGTGCTTCTACTATATCCCCCTTGGGAAATACTTTTGGGTTTTTGTTCATATAAAACCCAAGAGGAGATTTAAGATACTATTTTTACTCGTCTAGTCGACACATATAGTGTACATATTGATGCCCGGATGAGGAGTTTACACAGTGACCTGACTGTTGCCATCCCTGCCGCTTGTTTACCATCTGCCGCATGGAAGGCATGGTACCAACAAGTCATAGGGCCGCTTTCTTAGCAAGACCTGTGAATTCTAAACCCTAAACCCTAAACCCTAAACCCTAAACCCTAAACCCTAAACCCTAAACCCTAAACCCTAAACCCTAAACCCTAAACCCTAAACCCTAAACCCTAAACCCTAAACCCTAGACCCTAAACCCTAAACCCTAAACCCTAAACCCTAAACCCTAAACCCTAAACCCTAAACCCTAACTAAACCTAAGTCTGCGGTTAGGTGGCAGCGGTGCAGGAGGATTCCTGAGCAGCTGGATGCATCACAGCTGCGGGCACAGGCTTTGGAAGAGGAAGAGCAAGCCACCACCGGCATTCATTGATAGGGTTTAGGGTTTAGGGTTTCGGGTTTAGGGTTAGGGTTTAGGGTTTCGGGTTTAGGGTTTAGGGGCTTGCAGATGCTTGCCATTATGACTCGGCAAGGCGCAGCACTCTTCGCTTTTTTTTCGTTTCGTTGTCAAGTACGGCCTGGGACCGCTGTGTTTGCATCCAAAGGCATCTGCTGCATCTGCCGTCAGCAGGATTTTCAGCTTAATTCACTGGGCTTTCAGCATCCAAAGGATGGTGGTACGCATGGTGCATGCTCTTCACTTGAAGAGACGGCTTGCGCTGCTCGCCATGCTGGAGAAGTTTCAGTGCAGAGCAATCAGCAGCTGTGCACTCAGCGAGCAGAGCTGGCAGACTGCATGTTATCGCTGTCGAGAGTCTGGCATGCGCGGGGGCTTGAATGTATAAGCTTTCAACGTGCGGGGCTCCGTCAGTCGGAAGAGCTAGCCGGAAACACTGCAAAGTATGCAAAGTAGCACCAGGCTTTCAGACATGAGGCAAGCCACAGGGGCCCCTGTTTGCAGGTGTTTCGGGCTAAATTTGCGGTTTTGACTGTGCAATCTCCGATTGCAGAGATGGCCGCGCATCTGCGACAACTTCGCAGGCACAGAAATGCGTCCGGACTGACTCTGCACCTCTTGGCTTGGCAGCGATGGCTCGGTGCTGTGGGGTGAAGTCATGTACACGTCGGAAAGATCTAGCAGCTGCTGTCTCGTGCAGCTCTCAGACTCTACTCGAACATAAATTCGAGGCAAGTACAGCATCTAAATCTACACACTCCAACCCGGCCATTGTAGATTGGGTGTGGTGTAAGGCAGCCTGCATTGTTAATGCATAGTGCCTGGGCAGAACCTATTCTCAATGAGATTGTCCTAATCCGCGCCTCTGCCGGGAGACTGCGGTCGGCCCATGGTTCCTTGTTGAAATTAAGTGCGATTTGTAGCTGAAGTGGAGACTGGTGCCGGTGCCTGCTGAGCCTCACACCCTTGTATAGCATTTACAGATGCCTTCCCGGGCGGCGCGGAAAGAGTTCCGCGGCCCCCCCCCTCTCATTGCCTAGCTTGTGGGGGCTGATGCGCGGGATTTCGCGCGAAGTCTGGCTTCAAGCCCGCTTCAAGCCCGCTTTGCGCCCTGGAGAAACAGATGTTTACATGTACTGTACTCATAATAACATCAATCTTCATAGTAATGATGATAATAATAATAAAAATATAAAATATGATTATTCTAAAAATAATAGTACTAACAACGACAATTATTACTATTACAGCGATAAGAATACTAGTAATAGAAAATATTGATAATCGTTTTTATTATTATATTCCTATGAAGGCCATCCCGGGATGTACCCCCATACATACCAGCACCATGTGCCAGGGAGTTCGTGCAGAGTATGCTGAACCGCGGCATACATCGGCATGTGGAAAGATACGGGCGCGGCACTTACTGAACCCGAACTCTGCTGTTGCATGGCGTTGGCATGCTCACGCTGCAGCTGGTAGGTGCTATGCAAACCGTGATATCGCCAAGCTTGTAAAAGAAGCTGGGCTTCACATTGCTTTGGCCGTTCGCTCAGCTTTGTCCACTGTCCCTTTTCCTGAGAGACATCTGCGGTTGTCCAAGGATGAGAGGGCCCACTTTGGAACCACCTACAAGCTGGTGTGCACCAAAACGCCTCTAAAACAGGACGGCATTGGTTGCCTGCTGCGCGTGAAGATGTCTCGTTTGCCCATGCAGCCTGGAGCAGGACGACGCAGAATGAGCCTTAAACTTCTGCATAGCAGCGCAACGCATAGGGTAGAGGTGACTGGCCAGGCCTGGCTGAAAGTGTCATTCGGCTCCTCGTGGCTGCGCGGCGCACACAAAAGAGTTGCTCGTGGAATGGGGGTCTGAGCAGTGCGCTGGGAGCCTACAGCGATGATAGCGACTAATGTTGACCTCGAATTGATAACATTAATAAGCCCCCCTCAATTGATTTTTGTTCTTGAGGAGCCCTGACCTACCCAAAAGGGCCCATAGAAAAAAAAATCGGTCCCCGGCCCGGGATTTCTTATTATTGAGGGGGGGCTTTATAATTGAGTTCCGGGATCCGAATTCTTGACTTACGGGTTGGGGGTTTGTAGATATGAGGTGAACATTATTTCTCAGGATCACAAGCGCACGCAGAAGCAGCGAAGTAGCGGCTCGGAGAGTGCTTTGATATTGTCTCTTCTTTCAAGAGAAGCTGGCTAGAACTTGCCGCGTGTGATGCTTTTGGGGGACATGCTCTGCGTGCCCGCAGAACCGCTGGCTTTTTAACAGCTGCAGTTGGGCCACCCAAGCGAGGGCAGTTATACTACAAAGCAGTACAGTTCCATGGTTGCCGAAATCACAGCAAGATGAACAAATCTCAGGCATCCGAAGATGTCCGCAGGAAGTTTGAAGCAACTGTTGCATCACGCTTGCAGCAGACACTTCTGCGTGACACGACCACAAGTAGGGCCCCCTAGATCGCTTTCGAATTTCTCGGCAAGCGGCCGCCTGGTGGCATGTGGCACGAGTGCTGTCTCTGAGAGTTCTGCGGCAAGGATCACTACTCCTACTCCCTAAACCCTAAACCCTAAACCCTAAACCCTAAACCCTAAAGAAGAAAGTGCCTTATAGTGCTCAGCTTGGCCCTCAACGTAAGAGCCGACGCGTCGTCTTGCCGCAGCTCAGGGGAGAAGCGCCCCGTGGGCCTGCCTGGATGCCACGCCAGGCTGGCGGCATTGCTCTTGTTGGGGTTTAGGGTTTAGGGTTTTGGGTTTAGGGTTTTGGGTTGTGGGTTTGGGGTCTAGGATTTAGGGTTTAGGGTTTAGGGTTTGGGGGATTATGACCTTCCACTCCAACTCACGATCCAGCATGCTGAAGACGTGTGAAGATTGCTGCCTCTAAGATCCTGTGGGCAACGGCGCAATTAGGCACCACTGGCACTTTCCAGAGCCAGGGCACCGGTGCTCCAACATGATCCGCAGGCCCTAGGCCTTGACATTCTCGCTACAAACCCTGGCGTTGTACCCTGACCCGCAAAACGCGCCGTTACTGTGGTCAAGCCCTACAGGCAAGCCTCCCTTCAGAAGAAGCAAAAACACAGGTTTATCGCTCGCAGTTTGGAGTGAGCCCCGGAAGTTTAGCTGACTGATGTTGCTCCTCCGAGTCACGAATGTGGTTCTGTCCTGCAGGTATCTTTTTCCGTTAAGTGTGCCGACACGCGCGACTTGGCTGTCACTGGAAGCTGCGAGACTTCGCACTTTTGGAGGGCCTGGTTGGGTTCTTCTGCATTTGTTAGCATCCATGAGGACGGCTGCTGATTGTGTTTAGTATTCACGGCCCACCACAGCTGTGTGAGGCCACTCCTTGCATCACACCGTGTCTGGTCTTCCGCACTTTTCTGTTTCTTCTATCTTTGTGTATTGATTCTTTCGTTCTTTCTTTCTTTCTCTCCTCCTCCTCTCTCTTTCTCTCTCTCTCTCTCTCTCTCTTTCTCTCTCTCTCTCTCTCTCTCTCTCTCTTTCTCTCTCAATCTCTCTCTGTCCAGCTCTGGCTCAGGTGTTGGCCTGCATGTCCGTGTCGTAGGCCAGATTGCAGCGGCACAGCAGGTATTTTTATCATCTGGCAGCAAGAGGTGTCCAGCAGCAGTTTGCATGCTAGCTGCTATAGCTCTTCTACATCCCCCTTGAGAATTATGTTTTATTTTTGTTTAGATAAAACCCAAGAGAATACTAAAAATTATTGTGTTTATTAAGGTTCTAAGGGGAGTATACTGAGAATTAGTTTTTTTTACACGTACGTGTAAAAAAAACTAATTCTCAGTCTTTAAGGACCTTGATTGAACATTGCAGGAAGCATTGACGCGCTGGGCTCTTGGGACACGCACAAAGGCCGCGCACCCGACGGCTCCACATCGAGCTTCCATCTTTAGGGTTCAGGGTTTAGGGTTTAGGGTTTAGGGTTTAGGGTTTAGGATTTAGGGTTTAGGGTTTAGGGTTTAGTTTAGGGACTATCAAGAATGGACGACTCACCTTCAAGTAGTACCTCTGTCGTCCTTTGCCTGCTCGAGGTCTCGTGCTGCATACCTCAGCACCCGACTTCCCTGTGTGGAAGCAAACTGACACAATCCGCCTGGAGGAGGCCAAGCCATCCGTGCATGAAGTTTAGGGCTTAGGGCTTAGGGTTTAGGGTTTAGGGTTTAGGGTTTAGGGTTTAGGGTTTAGGGTGCAAGTTGCAAACAAGAGCATGGGCAGGGAGCTGTCGTAGAGTACAAGTACGTGATCTGTGACAACAGTGGCCGCGGTGTCTGGCACTCAAAGTGAATTGCGTTACACCATATTCCACCGCACGCACGCCTTCCCATCAAAGTGCAACTACAACGCAAAGAACCCACATTCCTGCTTCCGCCTTACCACTGGATTGCTTGTCAGCTTGTCCGATGGCAAGAGACAACAGAGCTGTCTTACATAGGCATTTTCATCATTTCAAACCATGCAGCTGCCTCATTTCCAGAGACGATGCTTCGCCTGAGGTTCGGTGGGAGGAGCGCGTGAATCGAGCAGTCCACATTGCAGATTTGGGCCCGGCCCTGAGATCAGAAGCAGTAGCTATGGCACTGCTTCCGGAAGCCTGTCGGCACTAGCTCGCGTAGAAAAACGACTCCGAGACATTGACAAGTAAGATGTCGTAGTTGGGGACTCTGGACCTACTCACCTGCCAGTGAAGCAACGCAAGCTTTTCAATGTCACAATGCTTCAAGTTTATTGGCAAGAGCTTTCACGAGCTTTGGGTCCGGTTGCAGGTTCACAAAGAGCAAAGCAGGACACTCCACACACCTGATCTCCATAGACCACCACTAGAAAGGTCGGCGCAGCACCTTGCCGATCCCAACTGATCATAGCTAGCATGAAACTAGTTAACTCAGCAATCACCTTCCCGGCTGATTCAGACCCTTCCTCATATGCAAGAAAGAGGGGGGGAGGGGGGGAGGGCGGAGGCAGGGAGGGGGAGGTGTGCAGCCTGTATATAGAGAATAAACCATATTTTATCTACTGAGGCTTTCGATTTCAGATCTTGTCAGAGGGCGGGGGGAAACACTTTGAACTCGGGGCTGGTTTACCAGTGAGCGTCTGCAACATTTCGCACAATTCCAAAGCACTTTTTATTCCTTGAGTCTATTTGAGCCTATTGCGAGCCACATTGCCCAGCGGAGCTTAACATTGAACGTCGTTGTAGTGCTGGCGCGCATGCACAGTGAAGATGGTGAAAGAAATTCTAGCGTCTGATTATCTGGCAGCTTGGGTTGAACAGGAGGGCGCATTGTGCAAGCTATGTGCACTGGACATCCTAAGTGTGATTGCAGGAGTAGTTGTGACACTTGCCATCTCCGCAGAAATATGGCCAAAGCAGGATCATCAGTGGGTGCCCCTAGCGTAGTCTCTCGTGCGAGAAGCTGCTCAGGGGCTGAGCGGTGCATGTGTACATACCAGGATCTCGGTGCACGCAGCTTGGACCATGAAAACTTCGTGCTTGAGCACTATCGCAATCCACAAGGCACCAACAGCCCTAGTTTGTTCACCCACTTCTCCTTTATTTCCCGAAGGAACTCGAAACCCATGTTGCCTCAAGTAGTAAGTTGAAGTAGGTACATGTCAAGCCTGCAGTTGAGCTGTCAGTGTTCCTTGTATGTCATGCCTGTAGAAAAAAATCCTCTCGAAAAAAACATGCCGCAAGTGTGGCAACCTGCCGGACCTATCGTTGCCTGTTGATGTACATTGTTTTTCGCTGTCCAGGGCAACGTTTCACAAGTTCTTTGTTTCAACATGTTGTCTATGAACTGCCCTGCAGATGTGCTGCCCGAAATGTGGACCTCCCAGTAGCAAACATGTCAGCGGTGTGTTGTGGTGGACACTCATCAAATGTGAGATGTTCGAACCTTATGGTTTGAACCTTGTACGTTCTGGAAAGCGTCTGTGGTGCCCCAGCCCTTGAGGGCCCAAACCGAGCTTCGAGACCTGTGATGATTGATTGAGACAGAGAGCGCCACTGTCTGTCTGCCTGTCTGTCTGTCTCTCTCGCTCTCTTGCTCCCTGACTCTCTCTCTCTCGCTCTCTTGCTCCCTGACTCTCTCTCTCTCTCTCTCTCTCTCTGTCTCTCTTGTGTCTGCATATGGACGACAATCGAATCAGTTTCGGGTATGTGTGTGTTCCTGTGTGTGTGTGTGGGCGTGCATCAGGTGCGTGAGCATGTTAAACTTTGCAATATGTTGCAAGGGTGCAAAAGACGTCAGTTGAGTCGTTCCTGTCCTCAGTTCAGCGAGACGTGCTGCCGCCAACCGGAGGAGTCTACGTCATAGAGGCGGTCTGGTGATTCGGAGCATGTTTTTGCCACGGGGTTTGGCCGGAATAGTCCTGACATGGGTAAAGTAGCTGACTGCTTGGAGGAAGGAGACCTGCTGCCAAGTTTCCCCATTCCCTGAGTGCCACTTGCAGAACTTCGTCGCTTATGACCCGGACGAGTTGCGGTTCAGGCCCGTATGCAGCACAATGGATGAGGATTCCCGGTTGGGTCTTGAGGTGTTGGTTGCATCTTGTGTTGCACCATCCATAGAGAGGCATGACAAGCACGCGGCATCGTGTGCCTTGAGGTCAGCTCGCGCTGGCTTTGGCGAAGCAGCCTCAACTTATCTCAAGTGAACAGCAGCCTCATGTTTGTCATGAAGGAACCTGAGATAGGGGGTTAAGTTTTGATTGGGTCGCGTCAGCTACGGTCCGGACGCGAGTGCGTGATAGCTTCGGCGAGAAAGTCTTGGTCTCGAGAGTACGCGATAGTCCGCGATCCAAGAGGTTTGATTCAACGAGGTCTTGCTTGTCGGAGAGTTGAAAGGGTTCCAGCTTCAGCATCAGCCGCGCATCAGACTTTCGAGCTCCGCGCGTCATTGAGAGTGACATGTTGTCTAAGTAACTGGGCCAAGTATGGGTCTTTGTGATTTGGACTTGTCTCATGGCGTCGGAAGCTTTGAGCCTTCTTTCGCCATAGCCCGCATCAGCGCAAGCCCTGCAAAACACATAAGCGTCAGGCCTGTAAATATCCTGTAAATGCATCGGGAGAGGTCGCGAGAGAACCTTTCATTGGAAAATGAAAGGTTCAAGCAGGGGTTTTGGCCACAGCTCAACTTGAGTAACGTTGCACTCGCTTTAGTATCTAGGGCCCCCCCCCCCCAAACAATTTTTGGGTTTTTGCGCATCCTCCATAGGTTGGGACGGGGGCTGGGGGTAGGGCTGGTAGGGGTCATGGGTTGGGGGAAGCCTTGAAGCTTGAGGGTCTAAGCTTTCCCGGCTTTTGGCTCCCTGGCCAGTGGGGCTGCGGACGAATGCGGTTAACCGAAACAGTTTACTAAAAGCGAATGAGGGCAGCTCGTGGGCTACTACTCCCTTGGAAAACTGTTTGGGGTTTCGTAATGACATTTTACAAGGATTTTATATAAAGTCGGATTCCAGAAAATTCCGGAGTTTCTTATTCGAAAATAGTTTTTTAGTTTTAGTTTTTGGCTCCCCGCCCCCCCCCCCCCCCTGATCCCCGGCCGCGAACTTCGCATAATTGCACATGTAACCCTCGGCAATAGGGGTACCCTCCATAAGTTGTCCGAAAAAATATGCGTAATACCGGGTAGCGGTACTACAGCGGGCACAACATGAGCACCATTCGTCAGAGACCATGTTTACGGGATGGGCGTGTCACTTCCGCTTGACATGGGGCTCCTAGGAGCGTTCGGAGGGTTGTGGGCCCATGCCCCATGCTGCTGGCGTCCGCTGACCCTAAACCCGAAACCCTAAACCCTATACCCTAAACCCTAAACCCTAAACTCGCAGCCTTCCGTGCTGAGATGTGCTGAGGATCGCCGATCATCTTCTTCCCGCCTGCAGTCCAGGCCTTTGTCATAGTTTGGCAAAATTTTACATGTTTAAGTACCCTTAAACTAGGGTTTAGAGTTTAAGGGTACTTAAAACCCAATAAGGAATCTGAAGTTTAGATCTTTAATACTATCCCAACCATGAACTAGAGGATCTGTTTTTTGGGTCATCGGTGGCCTTTCAACTTGGGAGCTCCTGTGCGGTGCAGTCGGTGCAGTATGTATGGCAATCGGTGCATTCGATATGGGGGGTTTACGAAAATAGGATTCCCTTATAATAAGGACCCCAACAAGGTACCCTTAATTTCGGAAGCCATGACATAAGCATGACACTGCGAGTGCGCATGCAGGCTTTCTGGAGAGGGCAGCCAGATCTTCCCAGAAGGCTCAACCGGAGCAGGAGGCACTGCGGGCCCGCCGAGGGCTTTATAGGGGACTTTGCAGACTGCACGGCTTCAGAATAGTTCTGGGAGTTTGCGAAGATAAGGGACCCCAAAAATAGACCCCCCAAGCAGTAGGGTTTTTTCTTATAATAAGGACCCCCATGCTGCTTGACATGAAACAGGGTATGTATTATATTACTGTTTTTGGTGAGTGTTTATAAGGTTCCTTTTTAATCTTGGTGAGTGTATATACCGGGTGTCCTTTTGGGGGGGTACAAGAAATATAAACCCTACTTCTAAACCCTAAACCCTAAACCCTAAACCCCCAAGAAGGACAATAAGGTACCCCAATAAGGTACTCCGGGAAACCCCCAGAGTGCTGCATATATTGGCTTCTCTGGCATGGCAGGCATTCAGACTACGGCCTCCTTGGCAGACCTGTTGGCTCCCACGATCCGCGAGCGGAGGCCACGCACTCAGGGCAGCAACTGAGTCAGTTGTGGCTTCTTGCTTATATGTATATATATATATATATATAGATATGCATCAGTATACATACATACATACATAATACAGTTCTCCGTTGAGTTGAAGCTGTGTTTTTTGAGGCCCTCGAAAGTCGCACTGGACTGCCTAGCTGCGGCCCCAAGTTTCAAATTTTCCCGTATGCGGCGGGTCGCACCCGTTGGTGCTCCAAGGGTGGCTACCGGCGCGACTCCACCTCAAACATAGTCGAGCTGGCAGATGGAGGCATCTGAGATTCTGAGATCATTTCTGGCCTTTCGGCTAACTCCTCGGTCCTGTGGACTTCTCCAGTTCACGGTCTGGTGACAGGCTATGCTGGTGCTCCTGAATGTGTGGCTGAGCCCTGGGTGGTTCGCTCAGCGCAGCTGAGCCGCGACGATGGGTCCCTGGTTTCTCCACGGCATTCTGAAGCATTCTGAAGGTACCTTCGCCACAGGCTTCCAGTACAGGTGCAGGCCTCTTGAGAGACAGAGCTTAGAGAAGTGGAGGTGTGTTACAACGTGTCACAACGTGTCAGAGTGCGGGTGTTTGTTGGCAAGTGGACCCATGTGCTAGTTCACATGAGTGCGGACACATGTGGACTCTAGTGTCTCTAGCACTAGTCATGGCTAGTCAAGAGGCGTCGAGGGAGAACAATGGGGATGAGAGGTCGTACGAATTTCAGATCACGAGTCCGAAAAGGGGGCTTCTGCAGACATCAGCAGACAATGCTGCAGACAATGTGGCCCATGCACTCTGCCCAGCCAGGTGGCGACAACATCATGGTCCGAGAGGCCGCAGCAAGCGATTTCCAGCTTCGGTGTTGCACGGAATCGAACTGCAGAGCTCTTAGCGTGTGGCGTACAATTCCCCATGGAGTGCCGTTGCTTGCCTGCCTGGCCAGGAAAGCTGCTCGAACATCTTCAGCGACTATGTAGAGACTGAGGAAAGCATACCGGACAAGTCTGATTTTGAGGATAAGTGAGCCCCAACAGCTGCAGCAGAGTATCAGGAGTCAAGAGTGCTAGAAGCGCCATACCACGCCTGCACGCTTGGGTCCGCGTGCACATCATGCGGGTGACCAGTTCCAAACCCAAGCACCAACATTTCTACCAGATGAAAGAAGAAGCCCCAATGGCCTCCCAACAACCTGGCTCCATAAACTCCCACCCGCACATCCTCAATGCTTGAAGATTAGAAGAGCTAGGATGGCTTTAGGATCTACAGGGTGTCGGATGGTGTCGGGCTTGGGTTGTTTTAACGCCTAAACCCCTGAACGCCTGAACAATAAACCCCATGTTGAAGTGGCGAAGAGAAGGTACGCCCTGGTGGGCAACGGCCCGTTGGGTGAAGGCACCTTTGGACTGGTTTGGAGGCACTTCGCCCGCAGAAAGGTAAGGGGATGAGAGGCTTCAGGTTTAATAAGCGCGTCGGGGGATCGGAGAATGGGCCCTTTAAGGGGGTTGAAGTTGTAGTATGCTGAGATATACCCTCGTAGTCCAGACCCATGATTAGGCCAGTCCCGTTCACGGCTTGTGCTTGAAAAAGGATTACGGATCGGACGAGGCGGTTGGAGGCGACCACATGTCGTGCACAGGTCGAAGGGCTTGTACCTGCATGGGCTATTTTTTCCCTATAACCCCTTAAAAAGGCCCTTTAGAGGGTTGGTTCGGGGGATTCTAAGGCCTAATAGCCCATGCTGGTAGGGAAGTTTGGAAAGGCTCCCGGTTTATTGAATCTACTTCACTGCAGTTTTGCTGGAGAAGCTCGAGGTCCAACTTGGCCCTCTTGAACGGCTTGTGTCGAATCGACAGCAAAAGTTTCCAAGCAGTCTGACCGTGGACAACCTGCAGCTTTTTTTGTGTTCCGTGTGGTTGCGTAGAGAAGACTTAAACCCTAAACCCTAAGCCCTAAGCCCTTCTTGGCCTTTTTTTCCCAAGGTGCACTCTGAAGGTCGGCTCTGGACCTCACAAGGCCTGGCCCTCGGCCTGGGGCTGCGTCTTCTAGCTGAGTAGACTCTGTAGACTAAGGAGATGGCAGCCAAGATCGTGCGCAAGGCAGGTCTGTAAGTCTTTCTTTGGTTCGCTCAGGCGGCCGCCATGTTTTGTCTTCCAGCCTTGCAGGGACGATTGCAGCCAAGAGACATGAAATATTTGCTGGGAGACGATGGTGAGGCAGGACTTGGGTACTGCACTACGCTTATGTTTCTTTCAGACTCGTCGATCGCAGCAGCCCTTCCTGTAGCCAGCCCTTCTCGGTTGCACATGCTGCACGGGCGGACGGAGAAGATGAATAGTCTGTGTCGCTGAATCGTGGATCCAGGCCCAGCCTATGTTTTTTTCGCCTTCTGCAGCTCTCAGAGTTCTGCGTGTAGAAGGGCGACCACGAGTTTCGACAACAGCTGTCACGTCTGACAATAAGAGCACTCCAAAAGCTGTCGACCCTGAAAGTTGCATAGTGCGACATAGAAGCCTGCATGGCGTCCGTGCTGCCAGCGAGCGAGCTATGCCTCTGCAACAGGCTGCGCCACTCACTTCTTGGCCCACATGCTCTCCTTTCTTGCAGCAAGTCCTATACACAGAGCCCTAAACCCGAAACCCTAAACCCTAAAACCCTCATGGCTCCCTGCACCAGGCCCTAGCGAGATGGCCGAGAACATTGTTTTTGCTCCTCCCAGGTTTCGGCCTCCGGCATACAGCATGCGTATCCTACAGGCTTCTAGGACTGCTCGAGATACTGTATGCATACATGTGGATGCCCTGAGCCCATGTTGCGCTTGAGACCCTAAAGCCCTCAAGTCACGAAAGCTAGTTCCTTGCAGCTGGCTTGGAGCTGGTGAGAGTTGTCGTTTACAACCTTTCTCTCTGGTGTTCAGGTGGGTCAACAAGCGACCACCCTTAACTGGTATGAAAATCAATAAGTTAAAGGGCTGCGAGGAGGGGGGGGCCCCTTAAAGATTGATTCTGCCAATCCCTTGCCCCCCCCACCCCCCCCCCCCCCATTTAGGGCCCCGCCCACCCCTTGCAGGCTTCTTAATCGTTCATTGGGCTCTGAAAATCCAAGCTCCCTACCCGCTGACCCAGGCTTCTTTTGGTGTTTCGTTGTTTAGCGTTTGAGTGGCGACTCACTATACCAAGAGCACGCTGCAGACACTCAACAGGCTTTGTTGAGTGGCGGGGAAAACTCAGCTGTGGGAAAGTCTTAGCTGCCACGGCTAGACAATAAAAGCAATCGTATGAGCTGCTCATTCGCCTCATCGATCCAGGGTGCATGAGCAGATACGGGGACATGCTTGCGATCTTCTGCTGCGCAGGGTTGGGCTTGTGCTTGGGGTCTGGCACTTAGGGTGTCTAGGCTTGCTTCAACTCAAGAATTTTTAGGGGGCTGGTTCATCCCTCGAAAATGCATCGATTGCTTCGCTGTCCGGCGTTTGTCTAGCTTTCATAGCCCCTGTCTCAAGTCTATAAAGTAAAGCCCCGAACCGCCGAGTTATGGGCGCAGCGTTTCCTGCGTGATCCCCGAAGGTAGCAGCAGAAGATTTTCGGCCATGCTGTTTGTGCCCTTGCTTCTGAAGGTCGTCCTTGGGACACGAGTCTGACGACCAGCCCAGCTTCAGGCAAAGATTTGGCCGAAGGGGACTTCTGGGCCACTGATCATACTGATCGGCTGTGAGCCTGAGTTGTCTTGTGTGTGCAGCACCAGCAAGTTGTCCCTTGACCCATTTGGGGGGGGGGGGGGGAATTATAATCAGGATTATACTATGTTGGGCTATATTAAGGGTACCCCTATTTGGGGACGTACCCGATTGTCTTGTATGTGCAGCACCAGCAAGTTGTCCCAAGCCACTTCTTTGACCAGGAGTCTTCCGGTGACGGCCCTGCCAACTTTGCAGCAAGCTGCCTACCCAGATTCTGGAGCCGATGGAGAGGATGGGACAGGGATGAAACTGGTCATAGTCAACTCAGGTTTAGGGTTTAGAGTTTAGGGTTTAGGGTTTAGGGTTTAGGGTTTAGGGTTAGAGTGTGCCTTTCCCTCCCACTGCAGGATCAGGGCTCTTCTGCGGCGCGCGTGGCGCTCCCGGAAGGACAGGTATGCCAGATTGGAGCATGGCCCGCTTCAAGTTACAGCTCTCACTGCCCACAGTATCCTTTCTTTGAGCCGCCTAATGACCCCAATGACCCAACCATTAGCAGGTACAATCCAGACCCTGGCCACTCACATCCCTAGCCGTACGCGAGTAAACCATGGCCAATAAGCCTTGTTAAGCCGAAGCGCCAGCACTCAAATCTTTAACCGTTCGAACCTCACCAGTTCACCCATTCTCAAGCTCCGGGGTGAGAACAGGAACACAGATCCTGGGGACATGGAAAGCAAACGCAATGATTCGTGAATTTTGGCTGTTGAAGACAAGCAACGAGGCAATCGTGGCAACAGCGACCGACATCGAACACAACAAGGGCTGATAGTAGTTCCAATGCGCATGCCAATATATTTTTCGAGACAATGCAAGCGGCACCAACTCCATTGCTCTCCATAGTCCCTGTCTCAAGTTGTACTCCTCCTTCCGAGACGAAGACTAGCCAACCGACCAGCAATTGACGAAAGCGTCAATGACGCTTTCGTCTGTGTTTGAGTGTGATGTCCACTGATAAATCCGATGGCTTCACTCAAAAAGGTTTGGACTGCTTGGAGGCTGTCCCTTGGCTGTCATTTTTCACAGCAACACGTCTCATTTTGCATTTACAAAAGGCTGGGGTGCTAGATAGGAAACTCAACACCGTACCGAAGAGTAGAAACCGGAATGGCACGGCTTCCAAGATTGTTCTCAGTGCTGACCGTCGGAATTGCCATAAGGAAATACTGCAAGCATGGACCCAAATCTTAGGATCCCTAAACCCTAAACCCTAAACCCTCAATCCCCAAGCACGAACTTCGAACCCTGAGCAGCCGGGCACAGGCAGCCACGGCTGCGGTCGAGACACCGCGATTGGCCAGGCACCTTGGAGCCACATGTAGCAGGGTTTATATTCCAGCTATTGGTGAGTGTATATAAGGTTCCTGTTTAATATTGGTGAGTGTATATACGGGTGTCTTTTTGGGGGGTACAAGAAATATATAATTACCCTACTTCACATGTTCCGCTCTGACTGTAAAGTTTTGTCATGTGTCAACGTGGGCTATGCCTTGGTTATAATTCCAGGGTGTGATTTAGCGCCATAGCAGGATGGCACAAGTACTACTACGGATTGCGGTGAGGATGTGGCTGGTGGTGTGCGTTGGATTGTGCCCATTATGCCATACTAGTTGTGTCGGCACGTCGTAAGCGCCGGTGTGAGCTGAGAAATGCCCTTAGCTGACTCTACGATGGCAATTGTATGTGCACTGTGGTATGTTGAATCTGTGCGTGCGCAACTCACTATGAGGTTGTCACACACACACACACACACTAGCAGTGCATGAATGTCAGGTTGCAGCAGTATTGGAGAAGCGGGAGCAAGAGATCGCAAGGCGTTGGTGTCTTGAGCAGCAGGGGCGAGTGCTCGCGACGGCTGGTCTGACTGGTAGCTAGGCACCAAGTTCAAAACATATTAGGGTTACATGGTTTGAGTTTGAGGAAGATTTCTTACATCAAGGGCAAATACAAGAGGGTTCCTTATATGGTCTTAAGGAAGATGTCTGGCATGAAGGGATCGGTTGGGCTCTGACGAGGCGCTTGGCCGCTTTGGAGGCTGCCAACCAAGACAGCCCTGCAGGACTGCCCCGGCTATCAATGTATTCTGGGCCGTGTTAATCGACTGCGAAGGTGTATGATCCTGGTACAACTGCCATTGTGCAAGTGGGGTGCAGATTATCTGACCTCTGAAGTTGCAGAGGTGCTTCTGCACGGAGCTCTGCAAATCTCAGAAACCCTGTTCCGACATTGGTGCCGACGATTCCAGGCTCTAAGACTCAAAAGTTGCCTCCGAGAGGGGCAATGCGCCTCTCGCAATCCGGCTGTTCTGGGAGGTAGCCCTAAACCCTAAACCCTAAACCCTAAACCCTAAACCCTGTTAAGCAAGCCGCATCGCGGAGGAGCAAGTACGCCAACGCCAAAGCCGACGTTGAGCGGAAGAGAGGCTTCGCAAGGGAGAGCCGAGCCGAGCGCTGGCGCCGGTGAGGCGGGAGGTTAGGGTTTCGGGTTTGGGGTTTGGGGTTTGGGGTTTAGGGTTTAGGGTTTAGGGTTTAGGGTTTAGGGTTTAGGGTTTGGCTTTCTCATGCTTCTTAGCTGTGGATCCTTATTCATTATCTTTCTGTATTTCTGTCGTTCTTCTCTCTCATTCTCTTTACCTCTCTGACTTCATCTCCTTTTTCGAAGAGAGAGGAGAGAAGAGAGCAAAGAGAAGAGAGCGAGCGAGCGAGAGAGGACAGGGGGGAACCTGGGGGGAAGCGTAGGGAAGCGTATCTACTATTTGCTTAAGAACCCCAAAAGAGTAAAAAAAGTAATATAATCCCTATATTACCCTTATAGGAAGAGCATCTTTTAGTTTTTGGGCGTTCTTAAGCAGTTCGTAGGGAAGCGTTTCCAGTCCAGGCTCCCGGCTGCCATTTCCCGGCCTTTGCGGCTCCCAGGTGCGGGGCTGTTCGGCACGCCTTTTGCTCGGTTTAGGGTTTAGGGATAGGGGGGTTTAGGGTTTCGGAGTTGCGGAAGTACTATGGTTGCACGAAGAAGGCACTGAAACAAGGAGGTTTCGGTTGCAGTGCACATCTTCTAAAGACGCTTCTGAAAACCTGGGGCACCGTCGTGGAGGTCTCGGCTGTGCTTTACTCGCAAGGGAGTGTGATCTCAAGCCGAGTTTTCAGGCTACGCCAGGAAAAGATTGACTGGGAGGCTGGAAGCCGGCTGGGTGTGTTGTCACTGTACTGCATGTAGGCTTTGAATTCAGGGCCTGCCTGTAACGAGTCCGCTGTGCCGTATGCATGAAGGATCCAGGGCCTGCAAAAGTAAGCACTTGTTCGTCCTCAAAGGTTTTCACGTATGAGGCACGTGACTCACGTGCGGACGCATCCGAAAACTTATTGAGATGAGACGATGACTATTCGGGAGGAAGTCCAAGCTGCAAGGTGCCTCAAAGCATCCTGGACCGGCTTGCGCTGGCGGTGGTCCTAGCAGACCTTTTTACATGCTGTGCTAAGTTTTGTCTGGATGGTCCGGTTTACTCGGCTTCGGATGGGTTCGTGAGTCGACGAGCCAAGGGGTAGACACAGTGCAGATCAGTGCAGAGCAGTGTTGTTCTTACACAGAGCTGGTATTCGTTCCATGAGAGCGCACTGCTAGGCCTACGATGAGGACTGCCCGCTCTGGTGTTCACGATGCATGTTATATGTGAGCCAATTGAGCCTAAGCTGAGCATCATTGAGCATCTGAAAGCCACTGATTGCACCACAGAACACATGAAAGTAGGGTGAAACTAGGTCCTGCGTTGTTCAAGGCAGGATGGCGCCATCCGACTTAAGTTCTGATCACGGAGCTAGGTTGCTCTGGCACCCCGCGAACCCAAGATGGTTGTCGAGTCGCCGCCGAAGGATCCGCAGGCTGCGCGTCGTACACCGCAGCAGTCGAGGCAGGTGTTTGCCTTTTGCTGCAGCTTCTGATCGTTGCGTTGGCATCGCTCCTGCAACGGCCGTCTGCAAAGCACAGGTTTGCCTGGACGGGTGTAGTTGACGCAGCCAGGGCTGCCTGGTGCCTGGACTGTTTGCGTCTTTGTCTCTTGATCAACTTCCTCCGAAAATCTTATGTGCTTCGGGATGGCAGGATCGGTGGGACGCAGCTTCTCCAATACGGGGAGCGACGTGCTCATGATTCCTTGACCTGTCTTAAGTTGGAGCAGCCGATAGCTGCACGTACACTTGAGAGTGCTGAGAAGCGAAGCAGGAGCTTCTCCCAGCTGGTACCGAAAAAGCCTTGGCTGTCATGGCGCCAGGTGGGGGCATATTCACTTACATACACTTTCAGTACTGCCAAGCTCCAAAACTGCTAGTTTCGCTTATAAGCTTGCCGTGTGCAGCCGCGTCGTCCGAGAGGCTTGCACTTTCTGCCACTGGGCACGCCTGGCCGAAGCCACGAGGCCCGCCAAAGTGCTGCGAGAAGTGAAGCGCAACGAAACACAGGGCCATGATGTGGGCCATTCAAGATGCCACAGGTGGCGCTGGAGCTGGGAATGGGTCGTGGGCGTGTGGCCCTGCATCTATTCTTGGCAGGAGCCACCGTCTTAGGCGGGGGTGCCAAGTGTTGGGCCACTCCGAGCTCTCTCCGACTACGCTTGCCAACTTAATCAGCTCAGTTCACGTCAAAACCGAATAGACGCTTGATAATGTACCTCATGTTATGTAGAGAGGGGACTTGGGCTGATGCCTACATGTGTCTTCACAGAGTCTGACATGGAAAGGAATAGGCAGAACTTGTCCAGGTGTCGAGCTGGCCTGGCAGCGTTTCGCTCTGGCAACGGAGGCTGCGGAGCGTCTCGGCCATCGGCAGCTTGGCTCAGAAAGTGGGCAAGTCGAAGTCCAGCACTGCCTGACAACACGGGGTTGGGGTTTAGGGTTTAGGGTTTAGGGTTTAGACGCTGGGGCTTGCTTCCGTATGATAGCGATTGACCGTAAGAGCCGGAATGTCTCGAGACGCATTCTCGAAAGCTTGAGTCGCAGACACCTGGACAGTTCTGGGTTTCGGGCAAGTGTGCCCCTTGGTGATACGACAGCATTGTCCGAGCCACTGTTGGCTCAGGGATTTGGGAAGATGGGGAGCAAACAGCTTCATCCGAAGCTCGCCAAGTAGCCAATGGGAGTGGGGGCTGAGGGTTGAGGGTGAAGGGTTTAGGGTTTAGGGTTTAGGGCACCCGGCCCAGGTGTCCAGACTCTTTCAGCGTGAGCTATCTCGATGCAAAGGCCGGAGTGCCACAGAGCTCATCACGACTCTAGATTCTAGATCACACAGGCTGCACCTACAGCAGCTTCTTGCAGTCCACGTGTGTCATCTTGTAGTCTATACTGTACCTGTGCTCCAGTTTCGGCTGGTTCGCGTGGGTGGACCGCAGCATGCTTTCTTGGAGGCCGCCGGCATTGTCACAGGGCTTGCAGGCGCACACGATGCACACGAAGTGCATCACCTTTGGATCCTTCATGGCACTTGCCCGGAGGCACGCCACGGTGACTTCCTCAAGCTGGTAACACCCGAGGAGGTCTGGTGTGGCGAAGTGTGGATGAGGGAAACTCACAGCTTCGGTCCATATCATAAGACATTTTCTGACTAGCAAAATATGATCTCGTGACATTCGGCAGCGTTTGGCACGCCGTCAAGGTGGCAGCGGCCACGCTGATCTTCCTACATGTGAGCGCCTCACCATGTCAAAACATGCTTATCCATGAACCCACGGTGATCGCGAGGTCGTCATTCTTTTGGCATCTTCTGGCTCAGGTTTGCTTGCCTGCAGCCTCCTGGCCGAGCCTCAGGCCAGCGCAGGATCCGAACTACGAACTCTCGTATGAACTCTCCTAACTCTCCGCATGAATTTCCTAGCTTCAAGGAACCTCAGCCGGGAAGTTGGGCCAATGCATCTTTGCTTTCAAATTCACACACGGGTTCGCAGGGTTAAGTGCGCTGCAAGGCAGTTTCTTCAGCGCTGCCAGCCTGGCTGCAGAGTGCTGAGCTACGAGGACTGCTGATGCATTGTGTCTTCAGAAGCTGCCCCATAAGAATAGTTGTACTAATAATCGTAATAGTAATAGCAATAATTTGCTAGTAATAATAATAGTAATAATAATAAGAACAAGAATTTAGAATAATACGAACAACAGCAGATCTACGGATTGTTTGACTAAGCAGCGGTTGCATCACAGGACTTGCGCATCATCTGGAAAGGCCATCCACGATGCTTGCTACTCAATATACGTTTCTTCCATGGCAACACTGTGCGAGGCGAGAAGGGCGACTTCCCTTTTCAGGACATCGCAGCCCCAGCCCTCGCCTGCCACTGAGATTCCGGAGTTTAAGCAAAAACAAAGAAGACTCTGACTCCATCCGACTCTCTCTGTCTCCCTTTGCTGGGCTCTGCTGGTCAGAGGCCTGCAGCTGGGCGCCCGAAGTGGGGCACAGGTCGCGACACCGACTCCAGCGTTGACACACTTTGACCACACCCCCTGTCACATGCCAAAACTGGTTTTTTTGCATCATGCCAATGCTGCATCACCTGGAGCATTGCAACAGTCTAAGTATGAGGTGCCGCAGCATCTGCGACCCCAACCCAATTCAGTGAGGCGTTTTCGATTTGTTCAGACTTGGTGCTCGCAGGTTCTTCTGCTATCAGCGCCGGGACCTGGAGGAGGAAGTGATCCCGCTGGCAAGGATGGGCACTCAGCAACATGTTTCCCAGTTGCCGCCGTAAGAGGTCCCTTCCCTAAACCCTAAACCCTGAACCCTAAACCCTAAACCTTGAAAGAGTCTGAAGCTCTCAGTTGCAGGTCCGGAGTTGGCTGACGAGCAAGCCCAGGGAGAAAACAGCGATGCGAAGGGGACACCCAGAGTTAGCTTGCCTTAGCTTCCTGATGTTTGCTGGTGCGGCCGTGACCTTCATCGTTCTTCTCCTCCACGTGACCTTCATCGTTCTTCTCCTCCACTTCCAGCTTGCCCCTTTTTGCTTTGCAGGTGAAGCTGCACCTGACTATGAAGCACCCTCACATCTGTGAGGCGGAAATGCAACATTAGCTAGGCTTTCCAGCTGCTTCTGAGGCTCCCTCGATTGGAGTGCTCTAGCGCCTTGCAACTTGATAGTCATTGAAATCGTCATGTTTCCGAAGCGATGAAACAGTTTGGAGATGTCTGGAGTATGGATCTCGCCAGCTCCTGGAATATTTCGATGAGCCCAGCACCGTGACTCTCATACTCGAGTGCGCCTGCAGAAACTTCAATGAACTCGTAGCTTCCTTGAAGAGCGTTGAGCCTTCTCACTGTTGCCAAGTTCGACCTGCGTGGCTCTTTACCAGGTAGTCCAGAGCTCATCTCGCCTACAGTGATTTTTCTGGATGTTTCCGGCTGTTCATCGCGCCTCCAGGTACTGTCGTGGTGGAGATCTTTTCGATGCTATTGTTGCCCAGTCAAAGGTGCACTCGTGCATGAGGGTCCCATTCAAGGGTGTTGAGCTTGCTACGAAGTGACGACAGTTCTAGTGATGAGCTCAGTTGGAGCAGCAAGAGGTGCAGCTACACGCTATGTGAGAGATGCTTTTAGTATCACCTGTCACTGTCCACGCATGCTGCTGCTACACACGTACAGTACCATAAATTTCATAAGCTTCATGCACCCATGTACCTTCATGAGATGAGCTTGGACGTGGCTTGTGCAACCCTGCCCTGGCCAGACAACTGGGCGCGGCTTCACTGAAAAGCAGGCGGTACACGCGACACGCCATGTTATGGTGCGCCCCTGGAGTGCCTCGGGAGGGAACATCAAGGGGCCAAAGAAGGGACGGCTGTAAGGGAGGTTCGGGGTTATTCCGGGGTTATCTACACGCTACTGGGGTACATATAGGGGTTATATGGGGGAACAAGCTTTACGGTCCCTTCTAGAGGTCCGCACTGATACCCCTGAAGAACAGCAGCTTGGCTTTCTCTGAGTTGTGCTTCTGCTTCCTTTGCTCTTGTGAATGTATCCTGAATGTGCTTGAAGCAGCCGCCGCGCCACGCCCCGCGCAGTCTGCTCTTCAATACCTTCACGCACAGAAAGTGGTGCACCGGGATATCAAGGCTGGAGCCCTTCGCCTCGCAAGCCCTGCAGTGCAGAATCTGCCATCAGGTCGCAGAATCATCTTTTCGATTGCCTGCGCCCATGGCGAGTCAGGTCTTGATGGCTCTTGATAGCTGCATCTTCATTGCCATCTCAAGGAGCCAAGACAACTTCACAGTGCCGCCAGCAAAGCGAGCATCTCCCATGGACCTCCAGACTTGTCCCTTCCCCAAATGCAAACGTATGCCCGCATGGCAAGTTCGAAGGCCCTCACAAGGAGCTTAGATGATGTGAGTTGTCATCCACCGGGAAAGTTCTAGCAGCTAGCATCGCACTTGTCAGCTCGACTTGCTGATGGGATGGCAACGGATGCTTCAGAGAAGCAGCATGCTGAGATTACAAACTGCATGCCATGCCTGGTGAATCCAGGGGGATGTGATGGTTGTGCCCAAAGGGAGCCGTTGTTCGGGATCACCATAAGCCCGACAGGCTTGGAGGACCCATGTCCAGGCTGCAACAAAAAAACCCAAGAGTGTGACAGGGTACCATATGGGCTCCCCAAAGAAACTTCTCAGTGGCCTAGCACCTTCCAGGGCAGATCTATTCCTGAACGTTTCGGACGTCTCTAGGCTTGGTCCGTCTGGAAAAAGAGCGACAGAAAACCTGAGGCCATGCAGGAAGCAGCGGCAAAGGGTGATTTTGAAATTACATGATTGTAGTGTTGTGTAAGTGCATTGTTGCAGTAGTATATCAATATCTATATGTATATATACACATCTTTTTCTACATATATATATATACAATATACATGTATACATATATATATATGTATGTATATATATATAGATATATATATATATATCATGAATCGGAGAGTTCCAATTTGGCGCAATTTTGCGCCCAGACGCCGGCGTGCAGCCGCCGCGGCTGAGGCGCGGCTTGGCCGAGGCCCACTTCTCTACGAATGGTGAGGGGATTTTAGGGTTTACAGGGTTGTTGATCGGGTTGTTGAGGGTGTATAGGGTTTTTTTTTAGGGTTTTTGAGGGTTTATATGGTTTTATAGGGTTTTGAGTAGGTTGGCCTTTTTCGAGTGGAAGTTATGCTTCGAACACATGAGTCTTCTTCAGATGATTCTCGGCAGCTCTTCTTCTGACGCGATTTCGAAGACCCGTGGCAAAGGCAGCACAGCGCCGCGGGGGGGGGCTGCAATCACCCTGCAGTCCCCGAAGCTGAGGCCCACCTGCACCTGGCAGAGAACAGGAGCCTCAGCAAGAGTCAGCTCCGTCACCGCCTCGGCTGTTTGAGTTCGGCTACACGGGACACGGCGAGCGCCTCCTGCGATCTCGGCTGCAGTCCCGACATGGATCCACGAGCTTGCGACCTCATGCCCGCCTTCGACCGCGTCTCCATCTCAGGACCACAAGGAGAGCTGGCTTGCATACCCCTCTTATACCCCAAATAGAATAGGATCCCCTTAAAAGGCTGGCTGCGGTCAGCTGCTTCGCCAACAAAGCAGCGCGTCATCACTCGGCCCATTCTGAAACTCCTGCCCAACTTCTGGGCACCGAGGCTCACGCGGCCGCAGTTGCCCGGCATAAGAACACAGGTGAGGACGCCCACCATGCCAGGGACCAGGAAGCTGCACTTCATGGTATTGCACGGCGACGATGAGCATGGCAACACAGGGACACGCGATGGCGAGCCTGAGCGGCTGCGTTCTTTCGTGCCTTGCGCTAAGGCCGCTGCACTGCGGAAAGCCAAGCGTGCTGTCCAGGAGAGCCTGCAGAGGGGAGGCCTGCTGTCAGGATCTGCCAAGTGCACGCCGCTAACGAATGTTGATCTGCTGAACATATGACGAGCAGTCTTTGTTTCTAAGCCAGCCTGAAGACAGGGGAACCAGCATCAAATATAGTCGACCGAACGAAATCTCAGCGGAGTCCGAGTAGCTCTCAATGAGTTTTGGAAGCAAACCGTGAGAGCTGGCCCTGCTCTAGTGGAACCTTCGCCTGTGTTTCAGTAAGCTACCCTGAATACCCCCGATGAGGTTCGGGCATTGATTCCAACAAGACATGTTTTAGTTTGATACGTCAACTCGGGGGGGGGGGGTTTCCTTGACCAGCTACACTACCAGAGCACTGCGAACGTCTGCATGTTGGACAGACAATTTGACGCTTTCATCCCTTCACATGCTGAAGGGCGTGGGGCCACAAGCTTAGCAAGGCTTAGCCAGCAACATGGTGAGGTTCTTTCAACATGATGGTATGTTACGGTGGCATTCAGAGCTCCTCTTGTCAGTCTTGCCGAGGCACTGGGTGGTCGGTCAGCTGCGCGAGCATCTGACCGCCAAACCTGTGCAGGAGGGCGTCAGCTCTGGAGGCACCAGGAAGATCCCTGAAGCGCCTGAAGCCAGCGACTGGAGATGCGTGTTGAATAGAGCATGGAGCCTCACTTCAGATGGAGCCGCTGCCAAGAGGCGCAAGACGGAGGCCGGAGATTCCGGAGACAGATTCCCGATGCCCCGCAGCAAACGTCTCAGCAGCGCAGGCAGCACCAACTCCAAACTCCTTCACGTGGTGGTATCTCAGTGAGATGCCAAGCCAGCGTTTGCAGACGTCTGAGACGCGGCATGGAACTGAGCCATGCCCTGATGTGAGGTCGAACCGGTGAGCGCGTGGTGTCCAGGAATGCCGAAGCCTCGACAATGCTTGAACGGTCCTCCTGCGCAACACCGACGTATATAGTAATATAGACATACATATATATATATATTTTTTTTCTACTCATTTATTTATTTATGCACATATACATATATATATATATGTAAATACCTATACATGTATGCATAGACGCTTGGAGGATCTCAGTTCCTTAGTTTTAGCTGTGCGGTAGCTCCGTAAGGATGCTGAGATGATGGGAGCACCTGGAGGAGAAGTCTTTCGGGCCCGAGCCTGAAGAGCTCCCCTGAAGAAGTGCCCCCATTTCCATTCAATTTCAATGAATTTCATGAGTATGTCTAGCAATATGATTGTAAGGGTTTATGGCTTAGGGTTTTTTGTAGGATGATGCTGAATCGTCATATCGGCGAGCCGAATATGATTATCAATCTAGGCCAACTAACGAAAGCACCAAAGGTCTTGAACTTGTATCTGGCTAATGGCCGATCATGGACTCCGAATATACTTGTCTCGATGTGAAGTAAACGTATACGCTATACACTCACCAACATTCATAAGGAAGCCCATCTACAATCATCAAACCCCACAGGGAAAAGCAAGCAAACCCATTTCATGTATACTCTGAATCATACTTCCTGCCAAGCTGAGCATGTAAATATTTTGAGGAATTGTCGATGGCCCAGAATGTTTCTCGAAATGTTGCATCTTCTTAGATGGCCGGCAATATTGAAAAACATCGAAGGACAGCTACTGGTACAACCGGTGCGCCGAATGAGCTTCGGTGCTCAAAGTGAAAATCTCAGCTACATTAAGCCTTGGGGCCCATTCGAAGTCAAATGATGGAACTAGCACCTAAACCCAAGGTAGCTATGTTCGCATGAACCGGCCGCCTGATACTCTCATCGGTTATAGCCCGAAGTAAAAAGATGCTTGTCGTCGACTTGGGAATCGAGCACGCCTATTGCATACAAGAGCATAAGTCTACAACTTCTAAAGTGGAATGTAACTAAAACGTAGTAAACGAGAGGCCAGTTGTCATTCTCATCACTTCAGAGAATCACTAGCCTGAAACAAGTAGACAACTGAGGGCACGGGGTACTACGAGTTTGGTCTGCGGGGGAAGTGGTTCCTCAGGTCTCGTCTTAGTTGGCGGAGTCTGCCCCAACCACCCAACCCCCCCCCCCCTGCCCAACTACATGTATCAACTTATTCTGTTACCCTAAACCCTAAACCCTAAACCCTAAACCCTAAACCCTAAACCCTACACCCTAAACCCTAAACCCTAAACCCTAAACCCTAAACCCTAAACCCTAAACCCTAAACCCTAAACCCTAAACCCTAACGTCGGGGCCGGGCCGGGAGTGGGTCATGTGGTGAGTTTTTGGCCGTGTCTAAGCTGTCAGTCTCTCCTCCCACCATAAGCACCGCAACTCCCGAAAAGCCAGCTTCATCGAGATAGTAAGCCAAATCGTTTCCAACTAATAATTGTTAACTAACTACAAAAGCAGAATGGCAATGCTGTACTAGAAGTACAGAAGGACGTGAATGCTGAAGGATAGCTACTGTGACCCCTAAACCATCTGGAGTTAAAGGAAAAGATCATGGGCTTACAGGCATACCATATACATATACATATATATATATGTTTACATACATACATGTACGTATACTATTTCTGCGTTTCATGATTTAGGTTATCTTCTTGCATTTTATCTTTCATGATGTACACCTACTTGTACATGCTTGCTTTCAAAAAATGCCCGCGCCCGACATGCCGAGGTGTCGATCCTTCATGCAAGTGGCCGCTTGGAGAAGGCCAGGATCAGCGGTGATGGTCTAGGGTTTAGGGTTTAGGGTCCAGGGTTTAGGGTTTAGGGTTCAAGGACTTACTTGAAGGTTCATGGGTAGGTATAAATAGGGTTATAAGTACCCTAGTTCTTTAAAGTTATAGTATGGGGATTACCCTACTTATAACCCAAATGCAGACATGAACCTTCAAGTAAGGTTTTGAGGCCGCAACTGGAGCTGAGCTTCTTGGATTCCCAACACATGAGATGCCTTCGATCCTGTTAGGCCTGGCTGCCCGATGCCAAAGCGCCCGCAGAATGCCAGCACTCCCAGCACGTCTCCTTTGCCGAAAGTTTTTTTTCGGAGAATACCACGGATACGTGCTGATGTGATGTGGTTCATGTGGCTGTTTCCGGTACCTTCACAAGGTAACTGCTGTGTAACTCCAGTTGCTTCGTTCTAAAAGAAAAGGCGGATGCTAACGGAGTGCCTGAGGTCCCCGGGCCTGATGCTGCAGCCGGGTCACAAGAGCTCGGCAGTGGGTCTCTCGCTTCGCGAAAAGCAAGGAGTATTTGTGGATTAGACCTAGTAGTAGGGTAGGTAAGCTTCAACCGTTAACCTTTTTGGGGTAGCATCATCCCCTTCTAATCCCAAAGGTTAACCTTTAATTCCCCCCAGGTTACTGGACAACTAGGTAGAACACCAATTGCTGAACCCACCGGCGGCCTGTGCCTGACAATGCTACTGAATTCTGTAGGAGTTCCTCAGTCATGACATACCAGACTCGAAGACGCACGCGAACTAGTCATGACAGACCAGACTCGAAGACATACGCGAACTCTCAAGTACGGCAACTCTCTGGCGCAAGGAACAGCATGAGCAATTGATTGAGATTGTTACGTACCAGCACACTAGTGACACGAGTGAAGCAGCTGATGTCGCAAGCGGGTGCGTGGAGAAGTTGGCGGCAGTCTTATGGCGGCGGGCTCGGAGATGGCAAGAAAGTGGACAAAAATCAGCCACTCTTCTTGCGCTGAATTGCATTTCTCTGCATTTGTCTTGGCACAACTGTCCAAGAAATGGAGGTGAACCAATGCCAGCTGAACAGGTAAGGCATTCTTTACGACCTTGGCTTCGCAGCTGCTATGCGAGTCCTCTTATCGCCTTCTGGCCCTCCTCGAGTCCCCACTTGATGCGCGAACGAGTTGAGGCCGAGACCTTCACAGAGGAGGATCTTGAGGAGACCGACATCTCCCTGCCCCATGTGGAGAAGCGAATCCGTATGCGCAATGCTTAGACCATGCTTAGACCTTCACATCCTTCAACACAGTCCTCAGTTTTGCAATG